ATTCATAATCACATTATAATAAAAAGTAAATAAATATTTATATTGTTAAAAAAAAAAGAAATTTTATAATAGTGACGTAAATTAAGATAATAATAAAAAAAAAACAAATTAAGAGTAATAGAGTGAAAGTAAATACGAAAATAAATAAAATTAAAATTTGTAAAAATAAAATTATAAATATTTGGTGGGTCCCTGATTTTTCATTTCCTTTCCGAACCTATTCGCAATAGTGAGACGAAACAGCGCCTCGTAAACGCACCGTCATGCGGTGCGTCCGCACAACGGGGGGGGGGGGGGGCCAAAGGGTGGTGGGGGGTCCGTCTCGATCTCACACGTGTTCCGTATTCGCCGCATCCACGTGTCAGAATTGGTCGGATTTCTTGTCTCCACCCCTCCGATTGCGGGCCCCACCCTACGTCCCCTCAAGTCAAAATGCCAATACGCTTGTCTTCTGCTGACGTGGCTCTCCCCTTCATAGGATTCTGTGGCTTCCTCTTTTCCCTCTTTTATATATCACTAATTTTTGTATATTATTAATCTTAAAAAATATTAAAACAATTTTATTTTGTCACCATTGATCACATGTGTGTACAAAATACACACATATGTATTGTTAGGTGTGTATGTATAGGCTATATGATGTAGATAGATAAAATCCCATGTATACATATGTACATACGACATGTTTATAATCAACAAGCAAACAAATTGTTTACATATACAATTAGAAAAAAAGGGTATAAAAAAGCACAGACTCACACGCAAGTATTGAATATTGTATTTAATGTAGGCCTCTGGTTACCAGAAGACATGAAAATCTACCTCCATTTAAGGGAAAAAGACAAAAAAAGCCCTCCCAACTTGTTCTTGTTCGTATAGGATTCTTTTAATGTAGCCGTGAGGTGCACAAGATTTTGGGGGGATATGGGTCAATAGATTCTCTCTAATTTATTTATTTATAATGTTTGATATAATAATTAATTTACTATTTTTAATATAATTTTTTGGAATTATATTAATTTTTTAAAAAATTAAAGAAAATTAGTCTCCCCTATAAAAATTTATCCCAATACATCACCAATAATAAATAAAAAAACTTAAAAAATGAGTAAAATTTTTTATTTTCTCGGTCAAAATTTAAGTAATGTGTGAATATCAAATAAAATTATGGAGAGACAATAATGAATTTAAATATCACTTCATGTTTTGTATGTATGATGTTGATGAGAATGTTCCTCCATACTTTCATTGTATATAAAAATAAATTTGTCGTGGTACATCAATTTAATATTTTTTATTGTAACATATTAATTGGTTAATGTATTTCAATATTAAAAATATGAAATTAAAAACATATGTTTATTTCATTTAAATTTTTTAATTATATTCTTTTATATTTGTCTTGGAAATATTATAATTAGAGATTGAAAGAGAGAGCTAGGTTCATGCACGCCGAAATTGCAAAGAGGAAATTGCCAAGAGGGTTCTTGAATTAAGTAAACGTGCATTGAGATAGAAATCAAAAGACTTATTTTTAGCATTAGACAACAAGGCAATTATTGAGCCTCTCGCTTTCGTTTATTTTTCTTAAATAATACATTAAGGTGGTGATTGTGTAACTTTTTGCACCAAATATTGGATTAATGTAACATTAGAAAAATTTTAACTCTATCAAATCTCGAATTGAAATAAAATCAAGTTTTATTTTTTAAAAAAATTAAATTTATGTATTTAAAAATATTTTAATATTTTATTTACATGAAATGAATACAAATAATAATACCATTTTGATGGTTAAAGTATTATGACAATATCATTCTCTATTAAAAACTACTTATGAAGAACTTAAAACTTTATATGAACTCAATATTTTTACTTATTTTAAAATTGTATTAAATTTGGAATATCAAATTTTTGTAAGGAATGGAGAATTGCAATATCTGATCCTCAACGAAAAGTTTGTGTAAATAAGTAAGTAAAAAAAAATTAAATTATTGTGATAAAGTAAATTAAATTAGGATCTAAAGGTTAAATGAAAGAATTTTCATAAAATTAAAAGTCTTTATAAATTAAAAAATGACTATTACAAATGGTATCAGAACTGTTATTTCTAAAATCATATTTTGTGCATAAAATTTTAGAGTTTAAATATAATTTCTTATAATTTTTAGAATGCTAAGAAGTAGAAAAATTTATACTGAAATATTCTAATCATTTATTTTTTGAAATATAGAATTGTAAAAGAAGACGTGGGCGACCACCGTCAGAACAACATTCCGATTATATATTTTTAGAAGAAAATGTTGATCGGTGGTAATATATGATTGAGGGGCTCGTCAATAAGTCTATTAGAGAAGGTAGAGAAGAGTTACACGGTCCTCCCCCAAGTACCTATATATTATTTATATATTTTTATTATTAAGAAATACTAATCAATTTAGATTACACTCGACCAGGCGGGACCGAAATCTTCAATCTCATCCATTTTTTTTGGGTACGAATCAGATGGTGCCCATAATTTTATTTATGTCACACAAAATAGTAGTCAATTGGTGTACTAATTTTCTTGGTGCTTATTTTTAATAGAATAAATCCATACATTTCAATTAGGTCAAATTGTCTCTTTGTAATTTTGTCTGTCATGTATACGACGATCGGTCCAGAATTAAATCGGAATAAAAAACATGGTAGTGAGGGCCCATTAATTGAGCTTCCAAGTGAGATAAAACGAGGTCGTTTTTGGGCTTACTTTTTTATACAAGGAGACTTTGATAATACGACCTGTCATTCTCGATGGGCCTTCTGGCCCTTTAGTTTTTTAAACAAGCTTCGGTTATATTTTTGGGCCTCTTGGCCCATAAAATCTCTAACTTTCCTTCTAATGATATCATGTGCCTTTTTCTTTTATTTCACATGTTGTCTGGGATTCGAGTCATGAATGCGTCAATAAATAAAAACTGAAATAAAATCATAATTTAAAATTAATAATTTCGTATAAAATAACTTTATCAGATTGTATTGTTAAATAAAATAAAATTCATGATAAATTAATGTATGTATATGTATATATATATATACATATTTTTTTTCCAAGTAGAGAGGGCTGGTTGGTTTTTGTTTGACCAAATGGATCAACTTTGCATTTAATTAGAAAAAAAAAAAACCAAAATTAAATTAAGATAATTGGAGGAAAAATAAAGTAAAAGGGTGTAATTGATAAGATGCTGAGCACGTAAAGTGTTTCTCTTGCTTGCTTTATTTATTGTAGCATCTCTGGAAGTCCTATTTTTTTTTTTTAAAAAAAATAATAATAATAAAGTAATTTAACAATTAAAATTTTTATACTCTACGTAAAAACTTACAGTGTTCAATATACGTTTACTCTACCTTTCAATTTTATTATTATGTTATACGTTTACTGTAATTAATATATAATATTTAATTTAATAAAAATAAAAATAAAATTATTAATATATTAGTAAAATTGTAATTATTTTATTTTATTTTATTTTATTATTTTTTTTAATAATTTGGAAAGCAGATGGCAACAAACATCTAATTTGTCTTGTCTTATAAGATTCAGTTGTTTCTTATGTTTTAAAGGAAGAAAAATAAAAGATTTTAAAAAATTTATAATTCTCGTTCTGGCAGTTAGAGTAGTTAATACGGTTGCCACTCGTGGGTTAACCAAATTAAGACACATTCTAAGTAAAGCTCTGTGCATATTAATTAAGAATTGACATAAAACATTAAATTAATTTTAATTTAGAATATTTTTAATATCATATATTTTTTTAAAATTTTGACTTTTTACTTAAAATTCTACATATTTTATTAATAAATAAAAATACGTAAAAAATAATAGTCAAATTTAATATAATAGAAATTAAATCACAAGTATTTAGTTATCTTACAAAATTAAAATAATAAACACGAAACTCATACGTTTATGTTTTAACGTCAGTTTGCTTCGCCGTCAACTTCGAAGAGACGGCGACGTGCGATTTAACGATATGATTTAGACGTGGTGGAGAGGAGGAAGTTAATGGCGATTGGGTTGGGCGATAAGGTCCCCCCTCCCCCTTACAAATTCTTTCATTCATTACTTGTATTATGAGGCTGAGATTTTAACAGTTTTTTTTACATGCAGCGTCAGTGTCAACTACACTGTACAAACTTATTATTTTCACATTAATCAGTATATTTATTATGAAAAATTCATACGCTAATTTTTTTCTCAATGGGTGTTTACTAATTGTAATTAATTAATTTATTAAATTAAATTAATGTGATTAACTCGAAATTGTAACACCTTTTTTTTTGTGGGTATTGGAAAAATCTTGTATTGGTGGATAGTAAGTGTAAGTATATATATGACACCATTAATTACTATCTGAACGCTATATAAAGTTAAAAGCTACAGCGCCACCTACCTACAGCTCAATCTTCATTCTTTAAGCAAACTTTTGAGCATAAAGGAAGATAACTAGTTAGTAATGATCAATCCCATATTTTTTATTCAATTGTTTATTTATTTTCAATATAATTCTTGCCCATATAAATTAAATTGTTATTCAATTTTAATCAAAAATAGATTAACACGGCAAGATTATGTGAATTTTTTTTTTAATATCATATTACCCAATTATCTAAATATAATCATTTATATATCCACTAAAGCAACTCTTCCAGATGATGTTACATCCATCCATTGCCTAGAAAAGATAGTGAATCCGCCCCATTCTCTGTGAATAGTTGTATATTAGAATTGAATTATACTGAATGTGTTGTTATTCAAAGATTATATGACTTTAATTTATGAATATATGTATAATCTACTAGAAAAAATAATATAACATTAGAATTATCAAGCAAGTTGTTCCAAGTTATGAAGATGATGACGATGATCATCCAGTTGCTATATATTTTACAAACCCAATAAAACAGTCTTTTGTATTGCATTGGTAGTAAAAAAATATAATCAAGGATTGTACAAAAAGTTAAAGAAAAGAAAGCATAGAAATTGATTAGGAAGAACAAAAAATGAGAAGAAAACAGAGTCAAGGTAGATTTAGTTACAAACCTGTTTATAAGGGTATTTCCCTTTTCCTAAATCAGCTAAAATAATCCACAAACAGAAGATAACCATAGAATTACACCAAACCCAACCCAAAACACCCACATAAATATATCAAAAGAAGTCACAATTAAATACATCACACAGCCTAATCAGTTGATCAGAACTAGGCTCTATCTTTATAATCCTCATCAGTGTATCGAATCTATGTTCTTACTCAGCTCCTCCAGCTTCTTCATCCTCAATCGCTCACTTTCGCTCACCAACTGCTCATCCCCGTATCAAAAATTTCAACAACAAACAAATATCACACATCAGAATTAGCTCATCAATATTACTCTGGCATTACTTGGGAAATTATTAGTCGGAAGACCCATACATAAATCAGATTGATTTTACTTTAAATTTCTTTTTCATATAACACAAAGTTTAAAAGTAAAGCAATCACATTTATACGGTCCTCTTAACTAATTTGTGTTATGAGAACATCTAAGAATGGTAGTTTGGTAAGAATTACCTCCATTAGTTTGGTGATTAACTGTACTTTTTCCTTGTTCTTTTCGTTGAATGCATCGAGGGCGTCCTTGTATTCCTTTTCCTGTTTCATATGGTGAAAATTTAAGGTTTACGAGAAAATTTATATTATTGATTCAATCCTCATATGTGCCAAAATATAAAACAGTTGGATTGTCATGAACAAGAATGTGTTTGGTAGTGTCAATTGGCTAAAAATTTGGTGCTATTTGAAGCTTTACCTTCTTTTGGACTGTATGCCCTAACGGCTTTAATTCCTTGTTCACCGAATCGATCTTCTTTCGAACCAGAGCAACTTCCTTTCTCATGGGATCTGCAAGAGCTTCAAGCTCCTGGTAGATTTATAAAAGTTAGCTATAAATTCATACACTATATTAACAGTAATTACCGTAGTTTTTCTGCAATTTCAGGTAAAATAAATTCCAACCAGTAAAAAAAAAAAAAAAAAGTTTGATGAAGACTAAAAGATACCCAAATTCATCCGACCCTCTTCGAGAGCTTTACAGCAATTACTTCATTTTAAGGTTGAAATTAATTAGACCCAAAAACCCCAAATTAATAGTTTCTTTTCTTAATCTTGTCTTTTAAAGTTTAAAACTGAAATATAGTTCTGACTCCCAATTTATTGAAAAAAAATAAATAATTAAACTAACCAAAAAAAAAAAAGAAAAAAGGGAAGAAGAAGAACAAAGCTACCTGTAGTGCAAAATATACCAAAAAAGGTTAGAACTTGAACATAATAAAAATCCATGACCGTCTAATTTTCAGATCATGAGTTTCTGTAACAGCAGAGCTTACATCTTCCAGTTTTTAGCTTAAATTTTGAGCTTTCATGCAGCCGGAAAGGTAATTTTAGGGTTAAAAAGTTCAAATCTTTGAAACCCACCTACCAAAACCAAATTAAAGTTCAACAAGGTAGCTCATTTCTTCCTCATGAAACCCTAAAGAAATTTCTTAAAAAGAAAAGCAGAAGATTTCGTCAAAATACCTCACGAATCATGGCCAGGCGTTTTGTTTCTTCCTCAACTCGACCCAACTGAGCCTGAACTCTCTCTCTGACCTCAAGCTTCTTCCTCTCTATCTCTTCTTCTTTTGCTCTGAAAGTCAAGAGAGCAGACCTCGACATTTCCTCATCTTCCTTGGACATTTGGCTGCTAAAGCTTAAGCTCCCCGAGTTCTGCACCATTAGCTGGTGGTTGGGTTGCTGTACTACCTGCTCGATTGTCTGCATCGTCTCCTTCTCCTCCTTCTTCTTCCTCAACCCGCAACAAAAACCCTCCTTCACCTTCCTCGAATTCCGATCTTCACCTATCTTCTCTTCTGCTTCTCTCTCTTCTCACGCTTTTGCTTTTGCTTTCAAATGATGGCTTATTCTCTCTCTCTCTCTCTCTGGTTTTCTTTTCTATCTTATTGTAAGTGCTTATAAACAAAGGGCAGCAGTGCTTGTTGATTTTAATTAAGCTTTTGAAGTTTGTGAATAGATTAAAGTATTGATTTGGCCAGCTTAGCGAACCAAATAAGGTCCTGTTGGGAAAAGCAAAATAAAAATTAGAAGGAAAAAAAAAAAAAAAAAAAAAAAAAGCATAAGCTGAAATGACCCAACTGCCAACTACTGATAAAGATATGAAAGATTTTCCAACTTTACCCAAATAAATTTTATCTTCTCTTGAAAATTCAAAATTTATAACCAAAACCCCACGTGAAAAAATAAAAAATAAAAATTCAAACTTTTGACCCCTCTTCGAGAATAATAGTTTTCTGAATACGTACGTATAATCGTATTGCCATTAAATTTATGTTATATTAATAATACATTTAACCTTGGAGCATTTTCTGAAGCTATACTTAACATGTCTCGTTAATTGTTATAATTAAAATTTAATTTCTTTGTTATATATTTTTTATTTAAAAGTTACATGATAAATTATGTAAATATTAAAAGCTGACAATAATGTTGTTGATATGTCCAATATCATCCTCTATTATTATTATTATTATTATTTTTTAATAAATTTAAAATGACAAACATGTACCTCAAGTCAATTTTAAGATTTCTATTTTATTTTGACCCTCTTGTTCTTATAATATAATTATATATATATTTTTTTTCTTGAAGTCAATTCCACTTTTATTTATCGATTATATATTAAGTACATAAATTAAATAAATTTATATTAATTTGTATGTAACACATTCTCAAGTTGGTGAACCGGCAACCCCAACAAACTCTCCCGTGCATGGTTGGGTCATCCACATGAAGACTCTGACAGGAGGATGTAATTTTTATATGCAAAAATCATGCAGTGAACTCCAAGCATATATTTATAATTTTATAGCAAAACAAAAAAAAAAGTATAAATCAAATAATTAAAAATAAATTATTATTATCATAAATAAAATTCGTTAAGATATACTAAAACGCTGCGTTTAAATTTATAATTTAAATTCTGCTGTTCATTTGGGTTTGAAAAATATTTGTTGGCCCATTTTTAATTCAAAAAACATGAATAACTTCCAAAAGTTGAAGGAATCCCATTATTACTACCTAGTACGCTCATCCCATCCCGACCACAGAACAAAAAACAGCTCTTGAATTTTTTTTTTATTATAAAAAATATGCAATTCATACAAAACTAATATTAAAATAATAATAATAATTATTAAATACATTTAACCTTAAATTATGGTGGAATTAAGGGGTAAAATTTTTTATTTATTTTATTTTTTTAACAAATTTTAAATTCAATTAAAATATATAGGAATAAAGAAATAATAATTGTGTAACTTGAGCGTGCATTGAGATATGTCAGGCCATATATATATCTATATATATATATATGATTTCTTTTGTTAAATTCAATACCCAATTATCACTTTGAGTTCTTATTTTTATAAGTGAAATAAAATTATTTAAATTTAAATGAAACTAATTAAGAAATAAATTTATTCAATAGAAATGTAAAAATTAATTATATTGATTAAAATAATATAAGAATATTTATTACAGAAATAACAATTAAACGGAGTCGTAACGGTTAAGGCAAACCAGCCATTGCGGCTGCCGGCTGGCAGGCAGCTTATCTACGTATCCTTCCAATATTCATTCACCTACACAGCAAGAATCTTCCCTTTATTCCTTTTTCTTATATTATTATTATTATTATTAAATATCATAAGATTGTTATTACAATTTAATTTTTATTATATAGTTTACTACTCAGTTTATTATTCTGTTCAAAAAATAAAATAAAATTAACATACAAAAATTTTAAAATTTAGACCCACGATAAAAATTAAACTTGTTCTACCGTTAATTTGTAAAATTCTATAATTTGAATAGTGAGAAAAATACATAAATAAACTTAATTTTATATATAAATATGTCAGCTCGACAATAATTTATATATTTGTTGTTGTTGTTGTTTTTTTTTTAAATAAATAATAAAATGGTGGTTATATATTATGAGGAGGTGTACTTTAAAGTATTCTAAAATTACACAAATCTTCCCGTTAATGGATTTCTACTTTTTTTTCCTTTGAGAGATTGCGGGGGACCATTTCGCCAATTTGACATGTTCAAACGTGGGAACCGCTGCTCTGTTCTTCTTCTTTTTTTAAAAAAAAAAAAATTGGAAAAAGAAATAAAGTCAAAGTTGGACGGTGGAGATCATGGGATCAAATTTATGATGAGTTGATGGTCTCACGGTGTGGGACCATCCAACGGTGGACATTGAAGGCATGCATTAAGATCCACGCAGCTTCACCTTCTCCGACCTGGATTGCTGATTAAAATAATAATATTTTACTTTAATTTTGATTTTTCTATATGATTAAAAGTTATAAACTTTTTTAACCTAATGCCAGCAGAATAAGCATTTGATTAAGGGCGTGTTTGGCAGACACCAATTATTTGTTGTCTGAGGCCCACCCGAAGAATACCCTTTTCATTTTTTTTTTTTTTTAATAATGTGCAAAATCTCGAGGGCGTCAGTGTGTGTTGAGAATCTGGGGGTGGGGAGGTGGCAGTTACACCCAACTGTATCTTCAAAAGATTCCATTCTAGGCAAATTGTATTCTTGGCTTTTAGTACCTAATCTTTCTTTAATTCACCATTAATTATTTACGTAAATTTTATACATAAATGTAATCTTATAGATATAATTAATATATTTTAAATTTTAATAAATATTTACAATAAATCAACCATATTCAACTCATAAAATTTTTTCATAATTATTTAATTTTAAACATATAAAAAGAAAGAAAAAGGCAGCATCTTTCTCGAAACCCCTAATTGTTTTATCCATTCCATCGCGGTCGTGGTTGAACAGAAGACAACAGCAGAAAAAATAAAACTGTTCAATTCAACAAAAACATGGACTTACTTTTTAACAATCCAACTGATCAAAACTGCGTCGTTTTTGTGCCTGTCGAAAATCACAATCATAATCAAACCATTTGTCAGTCAGTCACTCACTCACTGGGGGACTGTTTGGTTGGTTATTACCCTTTTCTCTGGGTGATGTTTGGTTGGTCATCTTTTCTCGTAGGTGATGTTCGGCATTGCGTTCAAAAGTGGTTTGGTTGTGTGGTGGATTTATTTTATTAAACTTAAATATTCATGTGAATGAATAGTTGTCAATTTTTCATAGCTGGGTTTGATTGTAGTCCGCTCGGCCAAAAATAGCTTTTGCCGTGTCCAGTACAGCCTGTAATTTTCTCATCTGGTAAGCTGCGATTACTGGTCCCCGAATACTGAGCTTTCAACTTTTTCTTTTGGGCTATATAGTATGATGGGGCTTCGAGTTCGGTTCATTTTAATGACCAACCCAAACAAGGCCTAAGTTTCTATTTTAAATCCAGGAATGGGTTATCTGGGCTTGAGAATTTTCCCTTGCCCAAACCCAATTGAAGATGATGAGGGTCTGGGTTGTTCTTGTCTGTGTCTCGTCCACTGACTAATTTAAATGTATATATTTTTTGAGACTGCAGCATGCCAGTTAAATTCGAGTCATTACATTCTATTAAATGTATAATTAAATTCATACATTTTTATAATTAAATAGAATGTGTATCTTAACTTTCTAAATAGAACACATGGGACATATAGTTTGAATTACAGTTTATATATTTAAATAGTCTAAAATATCATTTACTAGCATGAAAAAGAAAGGCTGTCTTCTTGAGATCACAGAGAAGATGGCTTATGAAATTAATAAACTTTGTCAACTTCTGCTTGGGTCAGCAGATTACAGAAACCCAATTGGGCCAGAATTTTGTAAAGCAAATGGGCTTTTGTTGGATTCTTATAAACCTTCGGGCAATAATTTGAATAATGGGCTTAATTATGTAATTATACGAAGCCCAATGGGCCTCCTTGTTAAGGACCTACAAATAAATCACAATTGATGGGCCTATAGTTCTTCTTAAGTGCAATTAGACAAAGCCCAAGGGACATTCTTGTTATGGGCCTATAAGTAAATCATAATTTGATGGGCCTATAGTTTATTTAATGGGGATGGGCTGCAATTTGAGAAGGATTCTTGTATTTGTATTTATGCAGTAACTCATTACATGGTGGCTAAAACTGGGACAAACGACAAGAATTACATGACCAAGCCAGGGCCTACCCTCGTCCACGTGTCTATTAGGCTATTTTGTCCATCTACGGAAACTAGTATTGTGGGTCCCTCTCCCCTGTTCTGAGACCCCAGGACCCCTCTAAGTACCTACTTGTTGGAAAATTCAACGGTCAATCCAAGTCTTTGAATTTTACCCATTTACCTTTTTCTACTCCCATTTTTTTTTTTACCTCGTCTTTTCATTTTTACTTCCCACGGTGATTAATAATTGGTAATGACAATTACCCAAATCCCAACCGACTTCAACAAAAAAAAAGAAAGAAAGGAGAATCTAATTAAATTTATATAATATGGTCAACAGATTTGCAAGTCCATTTGTAGCACACGATTCTTTGTTCCTATGCTTTGCATATAGAATCATATGGAAGCCTCGTGGTCTGACACAACCGCTCATGTTCGTGTCTTATGTATGCTCAAGAAAAGAATTTCTTCTTTTATAATTTAATATCAATTTTACAAAATATATACTAAATACAAGAAATTAAATTTAAATTTTAGTAATTTAATTAATTAAGAGAGTGGAGATAGAAAATAAATTAGGAGTGAAGAGATGGGGGGGAAGGAGCAATAAAAGAAATGCCTCGAGAGAATAAGTCACGTGGATGCACGTGAGTGATATCACAAGGCCTCGCGTGCCGGCGTGCCTTACTTTATCCTACACAAAATGTCGAAAAAGCCTGGGACCCACGTGGGCACTCTGTCTCTTCTGACGCCCAAAAATATTCAACTTTACTGACACTTCCCTCTGTGACGTATTTGCTCCTCCCTCCCCACATGTGACCTCCTTTATTTTCCTTTTTTCTTTCCCAATTTTTTTTTTTAAATTTTAATTAAATCTCACTTATTTAATAATAATATTCTTTTTAATTAATTTTCTGTCTCACAACGACAAATTAGCTGACGTGGATAGCTGGAGTGGGTCCCCACTCCAGATCCGTACAAAAGAGGTGTTGATCCAAGATGTTTTTTGGCCGTAACCCGTTTTACTTAATTACCACTTTGCCCCCAGTCAGTTCGTGCCTTTATTTATGTAGATATTCTGTAATAACCATTTTAAGAAAAAAGCAAAAAGGCAAAGTTGTTGCGCCTATTTATTCGCTCACTAAATAACTTTATATTATATAATAAATTTTAATTACATATTGCGAATTTAGAAATTCTAAAACTACGGTACACAGATCGGCTACTCATTTTTTGGTTGGGGTTGGGGTTGGGGAAGGGAATTAATAGTACTTGATGCTCTAGTAAGTAGTACTAATAATTACAGTCTATGGTGGTAATTAGCAAAGGAATGAGTAAATGGTAAATAGGAATTTAACCGCGGAGGTGTTTCTCAATATCCACCAATCATTTCGGCTTCTGGGTAAACAGAAGCTTACTGACTCTAGCCGTAGAGTCATAGACAAGTATATCTTGTATTTTTCTGTGTCAGAGTTAAAACAATTTGTTTTTTTTTTTTTTAAAAAAAAAAAATGTAAAATACAAAAATACTATAAAGTATATGTAAATTTTTATTTAAAAAAAAAAAAAGAAAAAAGAAAAAAGTACTATGAGTAGTCAAATCACTAAAAGAACGGTAGTTGGTCCAATCAAATTTAATTATTAGTAAAATTAAAATTAAATCACTGAAAATCTCCTCACCACCCACTTGTTCTTCCCCCCCACCATCTGACATACACACCCATCTTCATATAATCACATTTTTACCCTTCAATCATATATATATATATATATTTACATTACTCAATAATGCGTGTTGGGGGGTGTAATGGCAAATTTGTAATTTAAGAGAAAATGTAGGGCTAAAGAAGAGAAACCAATTAGTTTATCCAAGTAGAAAGGAAAAAGACAAAAGTGTTACTATAACTACTAAGTAATTGAGTTATGAGAATATCTCGGTATGTATAAAACTACTTGGGTGGGGTTGTAGGGACGGACACGATAAAAATAAAAGTAGTAACGTGTGAACATAAATACTGCCATTATGTAAATTAAGGGAAAACCCCAAGGGTATATTCGTCAAATAAGTTTTAACACAATTGGATAAAACAAAAACTTAACTGTTGGGTCCCTCCTATATAGTCTCTTACTCTCCCGCCGACTGTCCTCCTGGCTCGGCTCGGCTTCATTTTTTACTTCTACGTTGGGCTCTGGCCCAACAAGAAACCCATTGAAAAGTGCAAGTTTGACGGCTTCAACAAAGAGGAATTGGGCTCAATACTGCATTCATTTATTTACTATTAAAAAATAATTGACTTTTTATTAATTTCTATTTTTAGTAAATCAAATAATATATATCAACTTATAATATAATTACAAAATTTCATGTAAAATATAAAAAATTTAATTATTAAATTATTTTATTTTTAATTATTTAAATTGATTTATTTAAAATAAATAATATTCGATTTAGTTTATTAGAATAAGTTTTTTTTTTTTTTTTTAATAAAAAAAATGAATTTGACGTAATTCAAATGCCACTACAGTTCAGACAAAGATTAAAACCAGCGGTTTGGAAAAAAAAAATTGGATTTTGGAAGTTTAGCAGTGAAGTGAATTAATTAGGTAGTAAGTATTGGATTAGGTTGCTGGATTGCACGAGGTAAACATGATTTATGTTTTAATTAATTTGAATTTAATTACTTAATACTGGAGTAATAGAAAACATGTTCTTAAAGTTTCGAATCGGGTGTTAAATTTCCACTTCTTCAGAAAATGGAGGTAAGAGATTTTATTATTTCCTAGTGTAAAATTAAATAATATATATATTTTAAAAAGGGATAATTGGGAAGGATGAGGAAGACAGAGGAGATAATTAACGAAATTGCCATTCTGAGAAGAAGACATCCCAAGGAGTCTCGAACTGCGACACAATAATAACAAAGGAAGCAGTAAGTAGTCAGCTCTTTCCCAGAAACACAAATGGATAAAAGCCTGACCTCCGCTGCATTTGCAACTTCTCTGTCTCCTCCTGCTGCTGCTGCTCCTCCTCCTCCTCCTCCATTTATTATCTACGTACATATTTATT